ATTGGTCTTCAACCTACGGGTCGTAATTATTGGAACATTCTGATGATATTTAGTACGAAGGGGTGTTAAAACCACGGGCAACTAGGGCTGACGGGTAAAAATAGCAATAGGAAAATAGCTAAATCGATTCATCCATACCAGATGATCAGCGATAAGTACGCTTATGAAGTCTTATATCGGAATTGGCTGCTGAAAGGCTACAGCCTAAGACTTGCATTTCTTTTCAATGTATTGCAACACTTCAATTATTCACTCTACAAAAATCGCTTATGTTCAAGCTTTTTTTTGGTTTCTTTTTTTTTTTGAAATTTTATGAAAGTGACGAGTTTCTGTTTTTAAAAGAATTTTTACTAGGAATCTATTAATGCTTTGTATGTTAAGGTAGGTTTTTATAAAAATTAAAAAAAAAACTAATGTGACAAACATGTATTAATCTTTTTAAAATTTGTATATGATTCTAATCTATTAAATAATTATATTACTGTACTAAGTGACTGTTCGTTTTAATTTTACTTTCAATTGCAACGCATTCATTTTTATATAAATTATATATCAAATTGAGAGCATAGCTCTTCAAAAATGATGCAAGACTTTCTAAACTCTTTAACTGAGTCATGGCAACTCTACAGAGAAAATAACACTTAAAAAGGCTGACTGTTAAAAACTTTTCGCTATTATCTTACTTCGAATTTCTTATGCTCTTTACGTTTTCCGTCATATCCAAGAGTATATTGTCTTCCGCTGGTGCAGGATAAATTTCGAGATATTTATAGCATGGCCCAGTACTTTCAAAGGCAAGAGTTCCTTATCGACTAGGAAAAAAGAAAAATCCTGGGTATAATTACCTTTTCAGTAGAATGTATCTCTGTGTTATCACCCATAATCTATTAGCCTATTGCCTTTTGGAACGACTAACCTTTTGGACATTCTAAAATCAGCTTCAGAACCAAATATCAAATCTATATATTACTTTTTTAATACTAATAAGCTCATCATCTCATGTACATTTAATTAAATTAGAGCCGATAGCCTGTGTTGCTTGGGCTCAATGTCTTTTCTTTAGTCTAAGAATTTATTTCATTAGTCTAAAATTATAATAATAATAATAATATTTACACGACCATCCCTTTCCTGCAAACCCCAAACCGATAAAAAGATGACTTAAAGAACCTGGCCAATAATGGCGCTGATTATGAATTGCTACTAGTTTTAATTTTTACTAGTTTTTTCAATTTTTCCACCTTTCAACCACAATGCAATTTTATAATAAATTAGAATTTAGAATAAATTGATAAGAACCCACGTAAAAATCATGATTTTCGGTATAATTTGGATTTTTTACATTACTGGTTGTCCACTTCATTTTAAATGAAAATAATCAGTGACCTGAGATTAACTTTTGTTTTTGAGATATGGAATGAGCGCAGACATATGTGGCTTATATATCCACAGAAAGTATATCAAATTGTTCACAACATAAATGTGGTACAACAATAAAAAGATAAACATATTTTGCTGATGTCGTGCTGCCAAGTTCGCATTTCTCCAAAACCCAAAGCAATTCCTCTAGAAACAGCTGATGAAAAAAATAAACAAAAAGAAAAAATCTCACGGATTTCCACACCACCTTAGAGGTACCGTGTGCGTGTGTTGCCAATTATTTCGAATGGCTGTCTCCCCAGTAGGCCTACACCATTATAGACTTAATTAGAAATTACAATAGTATTTACAATAACATTTACAAAATAATTAAAAAGTAGCTTGCTGCGCGGCTGTTGTTAACATCTTCATCTGCAAAAGAAAAATAATGTAGTTACAAAATTTTATATATTAAGTTGATTGCGAATTTACCATTTGGCGTACGGCAGTCTTATATTGTACTGAAGCAGTAGTGCGGACATATGCCTTGGTGGCTTATGGGAGATTGGCGACGGTGCGTCGTCTTTTGTTTATCTGCAAAGAAAAATTAGAATATAATTAGTGACGAATCAACATTTTTATGCTAAATTTGAATTGCTTGTGTGAAGACACGTTCTTGTCAATGGACTCTCTGCAGTTTTTCGTTTTTAGCAGCATAGTCAGTAACGCATGACCCATCTGATTTAAAGAAATCGATACCACTGTATCTTGTAAGCGTTTCCCTATATTTGTCTCGAGCATATACTTGCGCATCACAGCATAAAAAATTTTATATGCAGCGTCGAATGCATCGTTTACTGCTGGTTTTGGGAATGCCGGCTTGATGTGTTTGTTGGTTAGGATGATGGTGTCTATGGGGTTTTTCATCATCTTCTCACCCATCACCTCTTTGCAGAAGTCGCGCTCCTCCTCCGTCATGTCGTCTAGGCAGTGACTGCAATTTAGCTGGTCACGAATATATTGACCTAATCCAGAGGCCGTGTACAATCTGAGAAATCTTATTTCGTGGTATTTAAGTTCATTTTTTTGGGTTTACGCTTAAAATAAGGTTGAAAGCCGTCGCCTAGCTTTTCATGCCGAAGACAAGCATTGTTTTGTACGGGTAGGTTTCCTTCTGCTTGTCGTCGGCGTATTGGCATCCTATTAGCGTATCAGTCCTCCGCGAAAACACTGCCAGATTGTTTGTGAAAACTTCGTCGAAAGTTATTTGCACTTTGTTAAAATAGCGAAATTCCGGATCGAAAGTATATAAAATGTGAAAAAACTCGGTATTTCCAAAAATGTTATATTAACTGGTTAAAAACATGATGCTTTATTGTGTATTTTCTCTTTCAATTGCGTTAATTAAAATTTCTGCGAGGGATATTTGCATATTTTTAGTTAATAATGTGGGGTTTGTAATTTGGAAAAATTATTTTTACATCTGTTGCGGAGAAATACCTCAACGGCTTCTCCAATCGTCCTTACCTTCGACATTTATATTCCTCACCTGAATAAAAATCCTAATATCTTTAGAGGTTATAATTGAATTTTCTTTTATTAATTAAGTTATGACACCAACTAAAACACGTAATTTGAAAAAAAAAGAAAGGGGTTTACTTGCCCACAAAGAACCTAGCCTAGCAACTAAGAATGAATATTTAAATGCCTATATTTGACTAAAATTATCGATCGTTCGGACGGAACCGACTGTCTTCAAAGATCGCAGACTTTGTTAGAAAGCTGCCTTTGTAAAGTCCAACGTGTTGTGAGGCCAGAGCTTCTGAGCCCTGCCGCAGTGGACGTGGGCTTATCCCGGCTGGTTCCGGCGCCCGTTCCGCGCAAAAGATCTTATTAGCGAGACTGCGGTCCTTAGAACTGTGTACTCCTTGGAAACGTCTGATCCACAGTTCTCGTCTTCCACAGGCATTCCTAAATATGGATCTCCTACATGAGACGACTAGTTTTCTTAGGACTACCTTTGTAATCTCTGCTGGGCTTCTTCTTTTTGAGGACAGCTTCCTAGGCAGACTTCGTTTACGTTCGAACAGAGTGCGCTTCTAGCTAAATATCCCCCGCGCAGTTGTGCAAATACGGAAATGCGTTCATGTTTTCAGAAACTATAAAACAAAACAATTCCGAGTTTGTACATTTGAGGTCTCGGTAAGCTTGGCATGACACCGCCCCAGGCCTAATGTGTTACTGGTTCAACAGTGAGACCTCTGTGGACATATGCCAGCACGAGATAGAGGAACACAAGAGCGAGAGTAAGATCTAACACCTCTTTCCTTAATACGTTCCTAAATGTGGGTTCGTCGGGAGAAGGTTGTATTATATCGAATAAGCAAGACGGCTGTGGACAGCATGCCATAAGCATATCTATTTCTAGAATTCCAAATTTTAGCCATAAAGATGTACAGAAACAGGTATTTTCTCAAAAAAATCTGATAAAAATTTTTAACAGAATGAGGCTTCATTTTCGTTTTCGGCTTAAGAACACCCTAGTAAATCTAATAAAATTGTGTCTAATTATGAATATAAAAAAAATTTTAAGACGCCAGCTGACGGAAATTATCAATTATCAATAATGCTATGTTTATTTTTTGATACCAATTTCTGCAAAATATATACAATTATTTCGCAGGATGGGGAAAAAGAAACAATGTGGAAACAAATAAATGATACAATAACGTTACGCCGCCATCTTATAAATTCGAAGCCACAACTATTCCTCACATTTAAGTATTGAAACAAATAGTTTAAGGGACAACTAAAGCAATGTACGTGGCTTTTTGTTATATCGTTCATCTTTATATCATCCAATTTAGCTCAGAAAGAATTGCGGGGTACATTTAAGCACGCGCCAATCGCCAAGAGAATCTAATCGTGTGTGGAAATGTTTTGGCAATTATCGCTAAATGCGTTCCCTCAACTACATCAAATCCAGCGACAATAATATTGATGTCGCTTAGACCAAATTGCACAGACCTCCTTTTTAGAGCTGGGTTTGGAGCTGCGAAAGGAAAATATAAACTGCCGTTCGAAAATAAATTAATCATTCAAAAATTTAAAATAATTAAAAGAAAATAGAGTGTGTCTAAAATTACATTTACAAAAGGTGAAGAAAAGGAGAAAAAAAAATTAAGTAAAGGCAAGTACAACAACATCACACCTAATAACAATTCTGCATAACTCTCTATTTATTTCATTTGCGTGCGTCTTATTGTTCGCTATATGTAGTTTGTTTATACAAAATAAATAAACGCCGAATTGGCTCTCATTCCTTACAGATCAAATTTCGAATGCTATCTAATCCAGCAGATGTGCCCTTAGAGACACTTAATGCCCTGTTAAACTTACCGAGGGTAATCTTCCTTAAATTAATGGAGCCACACAGCTCATCAAACGAAAAACAATGTTTGATATGGCCATAAAGACCAGAAAGGTTAAAGTTCATTAAATAGCTTAGTGAGCATTGAATCATGTGCAAGGCTGTCTCCTCTGAATATACTAACTACTTGCCATAGATCACTAGCATAGACATATCACTGTTGACATTATTACAGAAGGTTTTCCATCCTCTTCACTTCTCCAATCTAAGGTTACGATGTCGTTAAAGTATTCGATACGTCACTGCCATTCTTCGCTAATTTTAGCTGTAATTTTGGCAAAACAAAATTTTTGTTTTCGATGAATTCAACTTCGAAAACATTCGAATTCCAGTTAAATTTCTTCAAAACAACAATGTATTGATGGATTGAAACAAAATATTTCTTTAGACTATAATAGCGTTACAATACCTTTCTTCGCAAAAAAAAGTTTTAAGCAAGTTGTACGAATTGAAGAGACTACGATGTATGTATCCATAGCGATCAAGAAGTACATGGCAATTGCCTGCCAGCAGTTATCATGTCCAACTTAACAGAAAACAAAGGTTCAACTCTGTTAAATGTCAATTAAATTATTACTGTTAAAATTAATATAAAATTATTGAATTAGTTTTAGTAATAAATAATTTAGTATTAAATTATTATTATTAATATTATTATTAAATAAGTATCTATAAAATTATTGAATTAAATTTAGTAATTTATAAAAATTACTTTTTATTTTTACAATGAAAATGTAATGTTTTTTTTAAACTATATAAATAAAGAAGTATAAATGGAAACTTAACAGAAAACAGAGGATCAACTCTGGTTAAATGCAAAGCCGTCGGCAAAACAAAGGTTTAACTCTGTTAAATAGCAATTCAACAGACATAACGCTTTTTGTTTTTGTTCCTTTTCATTAGTTTTGCTAAGTTACAAGTACGTTATAGCGTTTTTTTTACTAAATTTTTACGATCTTAGAAGTGGCAACGCATTTGCAATAGAACAAATTAGGTTTCTTATATTGGAAAACGGCGTTTGTAGATTTATTTATTTATTTATTCTACTTATACTAGAAACTCAACTAAACAAATAATAGTCGAGTTCAATTGGCTCTTAATGCAAAACTTATATTAATTAATAATAAAATTTAGTATAAGTACAATAAAACAAATAAGAAGAAAAAAAAAAAAAAGAAAAAAAGCATGTAAACTATCAGCATAGGGACACACTTACAACCGGTACAGGACCAAATTGCAAATGAACCCCTAAACCATCGCAAACATGCATAAGCCTGGCAACCGATAATAAATTGATAATTCATTTTCGAATCGTAACGATTTTTTAAGGTTAAAAGCTAGTTTAAGTACGACATAGGTAAATCGCGCATATTAAGCAAAGTTGCTTTAATAGACTTTAGAGAGTCTGTTAATGAGAATAAGTGATAGATGTCATTAAGGTTCTTGTAAACTACTCTGAGCGGATTATACAGCTCATAATTATATTTACACTGACTAAGGTTAACCAAGATAAAGTGCCTAGAGAAGCGGTTAGGGATATTAAAGCTTATTTCACCAAGTAATAACGGCGAGTCAATAGCACCATTTATTACTTTGATTACAAAGGAAACGCCAAGAACAAACCTACGTTTCTCAACAGACTGTAAGGACAGCAGAAGCAACCTAATTTCATACGGAGGAAGAGAGGCAATCGGATCCCAACCCAAATTTCTAAGGGCAAACAGCAAGAATTGCTTTTGAACAGATTCAATTGAATCTACGTAGCACCTATATGAAGGAGACCACGCAACTGAGGCATACTCGAGTATGGATCTGACCAAACAAATGTACAGCGTTTTCGTAATGTAGGGATCATCAAGCTCTTTGGACCACCTTTTTATAAAACCAAGCGCGGACCTAGCTTTGCTAATCGAGAGCTCAATATGCAAATTGAAACGTAACCTATGGTCAAATAGAACGCCTAAATCTATGAACGATTCAACGTCCTCCAACTTGCGGGAATCAATGAAATACTGAGTAATGAATGACCTCCTTCTTGAGAAAGAAAGCTTCTTACATTTACTCAGATTTAGTTTCAGCAGATTCAAAGAGCACCATGCAACAAAATTATCCAAATCACCTTGAAGCTGATGTGATTGCGATTCAACAGAGAAGGAATTAAACAGTTTCACATCATCAGCATACATTATGATCTGTCTGGAATTAACCACCGATGGGAGATCGTTAATGTATAAACTAAATAAAATGGGACCTAAGTGACTTCCTTGAGGTACGCCAGACGTAACGGGGAATTCATCCGAGCTAATGGAGTTAAACAAAACTCTGAAAGATCTATTGTGCAGATAAGAGCTTATCCATTTCACTAAGTAGGGTGGGAAACCAGAGGCTTGGAGTTTAAAGATAAGTAGTCTATGGTTAACCATATCAAATGCTTTGCTTAAATCAGTGTAAATAACATCTGTGCGAGAGCCACTAGAAAAAGCCTTGAAAGCCTGCAGTAATAATGATGGTTGAGGGAGTTAAATCTATGCCTCGCCACCGAGTAAGCGACATAGTCGAGCGCAGAGCCACTTTTCGAATATTTTTTGAATAGCGAGTTTTTTCTTCTTGTAATATTTAATTGTCTTATTAAACCACGGAGGACACCTGCTTCGAGGTCGACAATGCTTGATCGGAACAGACGCAGCAATAGCTAGATTTAAAGTATTGTAGAACGATGACAACAAGCTTTCAATACTACCGGTTGACAAATCATGGGTCAAATGTGAAAGACGATGTTTTAGTAATACAATATTGATTTTATGAAAATCATAATAATTATTTAAAAAAATTTGATTTGGCCCATTAAGGCAATTCAACAAACCATCATTCATATGATGAAAGGAAATGCATATTGATAGATGATAAGGATCCTTAGGTAAACTAAAAGGTGGACAACGATTTACGTAAATCTCGGGAAAATTGGCAAAGCAGAGATCAAGCAGTCTACCATTTCAATTAGGGGTACGATTATATTGACCCAAATTATGATCAAACAATTCACTAAAGAACACAACAGCCCTATCAGACGTTGAAGTAGGAATCAAAAAGCCAGAATTATCACTGTTACACCAAGTGACTTGAGGCAAGTTGAAGTCACCCAATGCAACGACCAAATCGGCGGGTATACACCGCTTGGCCACTTCACAGATGAGGGCAGCGTGATTCTTGTAAATGGAGATATCGGAATTTGGGGGAATATAGGAGCAGGTTATAAATAGCTGTTTATTAGGCATTATCGCACGAATAGCGATAAATTCAACGTCAGGAGAAGTGGGAAATTCTATTGAATTGGACGGGACTGACGCAGATATGGCAATTAATAAACCACCACCAATGCGATTCACTCGATCATTTCTAAACACTTGGAAAGAATTATGAAAAAGTTCCGACGAATGAAGATCGGGTTTTAGCCAAGTTTCAGTGAAGGCCAAACGGAAAAACTCCGTGCTCACTGAATTTAGAAGAGCGGAACGAATTTTCGAATTCAGGCCCCTAACATTTTGATAAATGAGAGATAGTGGTCCTGAAGAAACAATTAGTTTTTTGAAGGCGACAAGACTATTGCCTTGGTATTACGGGGACGATCACGAGGCATAAGTTCCTTAATTAAGGATCCTACTGGCCACAGTGATTTGTTTAACAACATATCACTGTTTTCAGTCGGAACTAATATTTTAAAAGAAGAGATTGCCCTAGCTTGAGAAGGGGCCATTTTGAAGATGCTAACACGCTTTAAGTTGACTGATGGGACTTTCGTCGCCAGATAACCTTTTATGTTATCCACCGAAGTTTCAGGTGCCAGTCTTGACACAAATATTGCTTTTCTGGGCGGAACTGCCGTCAAGCAAATGTCATTATTTGGAACAGGAGGGGGTTCACGGTAGGAGAGTTTCGAGTTGGGGAGAATATAGATGGGGTTATCGCCCTTGTACCTGCAGCTTGTGAGACTTGCCCAGTCACACGCGAACAGCCAGGAGGAGAGGATGGTTTATTTTTCTCTTCATTACTTTTAGGCGATGGCGCTTGATTAGAGTGAGTGGCGGCTCTGGGCGGAGATACCCTTGCCACTTCAGCGTAGCTTAAAACAGAAGGACTTGCCGGTTTGTTTGTAACTGTTTTGCTACCAACCGACTCAGCAATATCGGAAACATTACTGTTCATTTTAGAGTTAGAGGGAGAGGTAACTTGTACCAACGAATCAGATTTGGAGAAAGCCAGAGGTGACGTCCCGCACGCTACGCTACGAGTAGAAGATGAGTATCCAATAAAACGACACTCATCAAACCTAGACTTAATGAGCTCAAAGTTTTCCCACAAGGAGCCGAGATTTCTACTCAATTCCGAGAAACCATAACGGGTCTCCGTGAAAAGTTTATAAAAATCAATGTCCCGCTGCCTACAGTCAGGACATGACCATCTTAAGCCTTTAGACGGATCAGCGACTGAGTCAGCAGCACGACCGAGAATACCGGCACACTTTGCATGACCAAAGCGCTCGCAGAGCCAACAAGAAACGAATCTATCAGAATCTGGGCCAGATTTCTCCCGACAAGGTGTATATAAACACTCCATGTCCAGTCAAAAGGACAGTTGTGGATTATGAAGAACGGACACAAAAATCACTAAAAACAAATCCTAAACATAAAAATTTATCAACCAAATTTGTGCAAAACTTCTCTGTTACGTTGACACTGTAACGACAGATCAAAAGCAACACAAACTCCAAACAGCGAAAAAATAACAGAGAAAAAAGAGAGAAAACAAAAAAAAAAAAAAGAGATTTATATCAGAGCTCAAAATTTTTGTTTGCAAAATTCAAATGAATCAAGGCGTAAAGGAAAAATATTTCTTTTACTTTGAATTCACTCACTTTCTTCTCAAAGTATATTATAAATTCACACACTATAAGGCAGAATAGCCACGAAATTCAACAAAAAATTAAAATATTAATTACCGAAACAAAATATAGACGAGAAAAAGGATTGTCACTATCTATCGGACGCAGGCGTTACATGAAATAATAAAAATATCTTTGAACGATAAAAAGACAACTAAGGAGAACATTGTCAAGTCTGTCATCACTACACAAATTTCATGGCTTTATATTTGCCTTGCGAGAAATTATATAGAAGACAATTAGGAATTTGAAAGGTTTACAATTTGACAGATTACTGCCAAAGGAGAAACTTGTAGCTTTTCTCACCATTTCTTCAATTCTTCCAGCTTAGCGCCTCTTATTTGTCTGTTAATAGTTTAATCATATATTTCAATAAAATTCAAATAAATTTCGTTTCTTACAATACAACATTAGTGTAAGATAAATATAAATTAGACAAATAATTTCTATTTATTTATTATTATTATTATTTTAATTTTAGACTAATGAAATGAATTCTTAGACGAAAAAAAAGACTTTGAGCACTAGCAACACAGGCTATCGGCTCTAATTTAAATAAATGGATATTAGATAGTGAACTTAGTAGTATTAAAAAAGTAATATATTGAATTGATATTCTGTTCTGAAGCTGATTGTAGAATGTTCAAAGGGTTAATCGTTCCAAATGCAATACTTCTAGCCGAGGAAAAGTTGAGGCAATCGCAGAGAATGTGCTTTATAGTAAGAGTTTGTCCACAACAGCAGATTGGGGGAGAAGACTTCTTCAGGATCCATTGGTGAGTTGCAATTGTATGACCAAAACGAATTCTCGAAAATGTTTGGATCTTGGTTTTCTCAACGTTTGTTGGATATAAAGGTGGAGTTAATTGAGGGTTAATGCAAGAGTAGTGTTGATGATGGTATTGTAAATTTCCTTCTGCAATTTTCTCTTTAACTTTTCTTCCAATGTATCTTTGAAGATCCAACTTTTCCATGACATCATCCATAATTAGAGGAGCAAAAGCAGCATACTTTGCCGCTCGATCAGCCTGCTCATTTCCCAGTAAACCGATGTGACTTGGTACCCATAACATTTTAATTTTTCCGTCGGGTGTAGTAATTATATTCCTTAATTTGTTGATGGTGCTCCATCTCGAAGTCGAAGGATTCCGAACAGCTTGTAATACAGACAAACTGTCGGTAACAATAGCGGTTTTGAGTTTGTTTTTATGGGCAAGGTTGACAGCGTGAAGGATAGCTCTGGCTTCCGTTGTGAAAGTTGAAGTACTTTCGTGAAATATGTGGTTGAGAAGAACTCGTCCTGTAGCATCTACCACCGCACAAGCAGGAGGCAGACCGACTAAATTTAAAATAAGTCGTTTGCTTTAAAGGAACCTTTGCAGGTTGATGATAGCTGCAAAGTGTTCTGTTTAAAGCAGAACTGTTTTGTAGAGCTCTACAAAATAGAGAAAAATAGAGAAAAAAAAAACACTTTCAAAAAATAATTTAAAAAATTAACAAAAAAGTCTTTTTTTTAAATTTAGCTCAATAGATATATATTTTTATATGTAGGATAGTACTATTAATTAAACTGTCAATATATGTAGTTTTTTTAAAATATAGTTCGCAGTGTATGCTTCCGCTATATATCTATGTATCTATCTTAAAAATTTTTTCAGGGATTATGTTCACCAAGTACAACTATGAGCTGCATGATGTGCTTAGCAGACCTCTCCGCGAGTATCCGGACCTGCGACGTCCTTGGCGGGCTTCACCCAAAAGATTCTACAAAGAACTGGCGCGCGGGCTTAGCGTGGAGTTAAACTGTACAGTAACCGTTCCGCGGGTTATAAGAACGTTACAAACAGTTAGAGATGCTTTCAAAAAACTTGAAGCAGGGTCGGCCCATACCGCTCTTACCTCGTATGTATGGTACGCTGAAGAGCTGAGATGTAAGCAGGCAGCTAAAACCATGAGGAGCCTTTTAGCACGTGAAAAGGCTGCTAAAGAAGATACCCGGCGAAAGAAAAATTTTGTGGATTCGAAGAGGGCGAGAAGGTTCTAAATACATCCATCATATTGGGACTGAGGCGTATGATACGCGAACTGGAATATGAAACTGTTTCTAAAGCATATTCAACTGCGACATCGTCAGGATCGACGAGGGGGCGACCTACTCCACACGAGATGATAATGATGCCAAAATCAATCAATATACAAATTTGCACAAATTTCTGAAGGACTGCGAGAGAATAGCTACTAAGGACTGCGTGGTCCATAATGAGAACTACGTCTGCACAGGCTGCAAGGCGCCGGCAGTCAAATCAGTCAAAATCCGCTCTACTGACCGAAGAAGACAACGTTGCACAGGTCCATAATGGGAACTACGACGAAACGTCTACGTCTGCCCAGGTTGCAAGGCGCCGGCAGTCAAATCAGTCAAAATCCGCTTGACTGACCGAAGAAGACAACATTGCACAGGTCCATAATGAGAACTACGACGGACCGTCTACGTCTGCCCTGGCTGCAAGGCGCCGGCAGTCAAATCGTTCAAAATTATTCATCAAAATTCATATCACGGTGATCACAAGAAACAAAGTCGGACTATTAGTAAAAATGCTAAGTGAAGCTGGTATTGCTACGTGCGAGCATATTCAACTATATGAAATTTGAAAGGACGAAGGATGAAGACAAAATAAAATGGTTAACTCGATCGTTCATAAGAATCCTACATGTAACGGGGTTCATCATATTCATTTTAGAATTAATACACTTTTAGAATTCATGTGGGGAATGTGCAGAATAGTTGTCAACGTTCTGTTTAGTTGATCTTATTAATAATAAGCAAAAAACATCAAAAAAGTGAAAAGATAACTTATAACTTTGTGTAAATCTGGCTAATTTTTAACAAATTTTTACCGTTGTATGTGTTAAAGTTTATAAGTAACGAGCGAAAAATGAAACTGTTATTTTTAAAAACAGAGGGGTTCTCGTTTTACGTTGTATTGCGGATGTGTCCTTTGATCGATTTATCCCCATTTTCAATATTTGCTCGCAGGCATTCAAGGTCAGTTTCAAAGGCGAATAAGGTTTAACATTTACATAAAGAAATATAAAAAAAGGAAATATTAACCTGTAAATATTTGATAAGTATATGACCACATCAATCATGTCGCAACACAACTCGTAGCTTTGTATGTCAACCGGTGAGCAATATGTGGCTATGTAAATTTTTGAAACTACGTCAAACAAAAAAGCCTTTTCGATACCAGAGTTCTACCAATTATAAATAGAAAATTAATAATTATTTTACGATTTGTTTTCCCTCATTTACCGATATAAATATATTAAGCAGATTTTCCAAAGTTGATAACTGGGGTATTAGTTTCTGGACTACTTTTGAGAAGGCCTCGAATATAGAATGATCATAAATGGAAGTTAAATGGATACTTAAATGTATTCGCGTCAAGCCGACCTCAGCTAAATCATCTGAGGCACGTTGATATATATCTCTCTGCGATTCCATTTTCGTGTCATCGCTAACGCCATCAACCTAAAAAATAGAAGATAAGAATGTCTTTAAAAACAGTGGTTTTAAATTTATATATATATATTTATATACATTTCCATGCATATATACGTTTAGGAGAATAGAGTTTTCTACTCACTTTATGTATAAACACTTCGAACTTTATGTGAGTATTAACTTTGTAAGCTTTGTTCACAATATTCTTGAACTTAGTCAACGCCTCATTATAATTAGCCTTCGTATCTATTACAAATGCTAACGAACCGCAATTGCCAAATATCATATCTGAATCGTTAAAAGGACGGGGCGGTAGAGGTTTTATTGTCGAAGCTGCAGTTAAAGTGTATCCTCATAGTAGTTCTGATATTCTCTACAAACTCGCAAAGAAATGATTTACTGACGATTTTTCCAAAATTGCGGTAGCTGGTGTGTCAAATAGACGTGACGCTCGCACAAATATTGTTTCTAGGTGAAGGCTTAGTTTTAACGAAAATATTTATGTGTGCGGAAAGTTATGCAAAAAGCAACCTATGTACTTAAGCTTACAGCAATGCATTTTATACCTCAAATATGTACAAGATAGTAATGGTAATCCTTCCCCGATGGAAAAAATGTATTAATGAAAAAAATGTATTATTTATCTTCGTACTTGTTTATGATCTGAAAAGAGGTCTAAAACGAAATACTATTTTTATTTATTTTTTTTTGGTTTGTTTGGAAATGGACTGGATCAGTTACATTAAAATTAGATCCATAATCTTCATTAGGGCCATTGATGATAATTTTGGGCTTAGGTATAGACTGATGTAACAGGATGAAATCCAAACGTACCTAGCTATTGCGTACATTAGACACTTCCTCCTTGTACTTCAATTTACCCAAGTTAACGGTAAAAAAGACGTATTCATGATGAGCAGTAAGACCACATTAAATATCTGAAAAGTGTGGAAAATTTCATTTTAATTTTTTCTTGTTTATTTGGTTGAGTAAAATAAACTTCGCAAAATTTTAGTACCAAAGCGCAGTTTAGAATTTAATATAATTTCATTGAAACTATTTTAGTTAGAAAAGCAAAATGACGATGAAATTTTGGAAGATGATTACGAACTACAGTTGTGTTTCGCATGTAGTATACCACGATATTTCCAATAACTGAAAGTCTTCGTCAGACTGTAAAAAAAGAAGCATGTTATAAGTATTTTTACTTTTCATTTCACTGTTTTCGGAAACAAACCATCTGTTTTTGGCTGCCGCGCTTGTTAAACGGTTCAACGATTAGGTGGCAGGCATATTTAATTTATTCGTTTTGATGCGGCTTTCATTACAATTCGTAAAAGCGCTCTTCCCTCTCTTTAATTTACATTCTGGTGATTATTGGCGACATTTCATGTTATTGTAACTATCGAAGTCAAGGAATATCATTTCTTGCAATGCCATATAACCAATCATGCAAATGAAGCGAGCTAAAAGGAACACCGGCATTCTCAATTGAGACGCTGTGTTGCCATATTCGTAAAACTTTAGCTCTAACATGCGCTGATATATCGTAATGTGCATTAGTAAATTTTTGTAATGACCAATGCATTAAAATATATAATTCTATCAGGAATAAGCATCAAAAAGGGATGTGGAATCCATACCTTGGGCTATCTGCTTATTTGCTTGAAACTTAGATATATTGTGAAAGTTATTATTATTATTGATCTTCTCGTTTTGATCTAAGATTTCTTGTGTACTTATGGAAGCAAATATGTCATCGTCATCTTCATCCCAATCATCATTTTTACTTATCCTAGTTTTACACTGATTAGATGACATTAAGGCTAAAAAAATTTTGGATTAATTTAAATATTGTCTCATCACAAATTTTAAAAACAACTTACTTTCATTTACGTTGTACGTGTGCTCTTTCTCGATATCGTCGTAACAATGATCTTAGGCTTTTCCTAAGAAGAATGTACAAAGTTAGACTTGTCAAAAAAAGCCTATAAAGAGCCACTTACTTTCTGTTTCTGGCGTAGAATCGTATGACTTTTACAATACAAAAAATGGTTATCATGCAACAATGAAGATGAATTATGTACTCATATCCTCATTGTCATCAATAGCGGCCTTGGATTTTTCCTCCAAATTTGATTTCGCATTTTCTTTAAAATCACGGCTATAGTTACGTTTCGGTTTCTCCCGTAATATAAATAAAGGGAACCTCTCCAAATTTTTTAATTTATGTTGTAGGACTGTTAAATGGCGTTGTAGAAAAGTCCTCAAATATTATGTCTACTATTGTTTGATTATTCTTGCCACCAAAAGCTCTTTCTGGTGCGTCTATATTGTTTACTTCTTTACTTGATTCGATGTTTTCATCCATTTTCAAAATTGATTTGTAATTCTAAAAGAAAGGAAACTTATTAATAAGTAAATTTTTTTTTTTTTGATTTGTTTGGAAATGGATTGGACCAGCTAAGTTAAAATTAGATCCATATTCCAGTAACGTAGTTGAAAGCCATTGATGATAATTTTGAGGCTGATGTGAGAGAGTGTTCAATATGAGAAGCTCTGTTCCACTGTCAACCCATAAATCACTGCACTTGGTACTATACAGTCAAAACTCCGGCTAGAAATGCCGACAAAAGAAGAAAATATATATCGTGATTGTAAAAGAAATTATGAATGCAAAATTAGAACGAAAAAGTGAATAAATTAACACTTTATATATTACTTTAGTGGCATTTCCGTCATAAAGTAAAAGTTTTAGTAATAGAATTTGGATCGAATTAAGCTTAGCTTCATTAAATTCGATGGCACGTAAGAAATTGTACAAATATATCCGCATGCGTGCTAGCACAGTAAGATAGACCAGCGCCAACAACCAACAACCGGATATCGTTCTTTCAATTACCAAAACACTGATTTTGATCTGGTTCTATTATCATCAATTCAGCTAACTTTTTTGTAATACCCTCGCCAAAAATAAAACGTTTCCTTACTTTTTTCCTTATTTATTCCGTTAGGAAACTAATAGCCTTTGATGTAAGCAGCTCGTTGGCAGCTGCCATATAAGCTATTATGGATTCTGGTCGAGTCTTCTTCCCTTTTATAAGATCAATGCATTCTCTAAGCGAATTTTTACCTAAGCTTGTCTCTTCAGTAAACAAATAAATCCTACCAAGACCCCGACAAACGAACGCTTGAATGACCTGGTAAACTAGAAAGATCTATACCATCATCTGCTTCTTCAGCTAAAATAGACACCAGCGGATTTTTAAGCGTTTCTTTCATTTCCAATAGCAAATTCCTAGCCGTGTAGTGCGATTTATACGGATCATCTGCTGGATCATTTTTACTTTCTTCATTTACGAGTTTCACTGCTTTCTCATAAATCTCCTTATATGTGCTCTTTTCAAATAGAGTCCTCGGAAAAATCAATTTTGAGTGTCAACACTGCTCCACAACTAATTTAACGTATTAAACGAATGTCTTTCGAAAACAGAAGGAAGAGATATGTAATTTTTCTTCAAAATGAAACATTTCTCCAGTTCTTTACGAAAAAATTCAGCAAGTACTAAGAATCAAAATTTTTTTCAAAAGTTTTTAGAACAAATCATTTTTATTTAAATGTATATGCATTTTAACAGAAAACTATGAATAGGAGAAAATCTTGAAGCTCAGCGTATTCACAATCTCCCAGATTTATGCACAGAAGAATCGAATAAACTGAGAAAATCTTTCGGCTGAAAAGTAAAAAAAAATAGAACTCTGCTCGTTATTTATAAAACAAAATTTTTCGCGCATATTCGGTGGATGACCCTACAAAGGAAGCTTCGGAGACCCCGCGAAGTATATATATGCTTGATCAACATCAAATTCTAAATCTGCCACGTCCGCCTGTTCGTGTGGCCATGTCCGTGTCTGTCCATCTGTCGATCTGTCCACCTGTATAATGTCTGTTGTAAACATTCTCCTGGTCTCAAATATGAAGATATCGACTTCAAATTTGATAGAAGTACTGGAAATTTCTGCACGCAGGTTAGTATTGAATCTGTGTGCCAGGGCTTCGAATGTTTGTGCCGAATTTGAAGCCGATTTTCATCACAGACGGACATGCTTAAATCGATTTAAAATTTGATGCTGATCAAAAATGTATGTACTTCAAACGCACACATGTGCACTTGTTGCAAATGGAGCGACAAAATGAATATAATGTCCGGTTTTCATCGTTAGTTAGAATCCATTCGTTATCTTTAGCACTTTTCTTTGAAATATGGAAATGTGGTCTTCGGCGCGAATGCAGGTTTGACAATTCTTGATGTTACTTAAAGAAACAGCTAAATACTGTTAAAGTGCGATATTCCAAATTGTACGTCTATACAATTCCTTCATCCTTTCCAGCCGGTAAGAAAAAATACATAAAAGAAACGAAAATTATATCGCACCTTCTTTTCAAAAATGAAGTCAATGCATTGCTAGTGTTCAACTTTCTTTCGGGTAGTTTAAGAATTTATTTCATTAGTTTATCCTTTGTTTGTCCTTGGGCCACCTCCCGCCAGTCTACCAAATTTCCACAAAAGATCTCAAATTACGGGCTAAGGAGTCAAAAGGAGGAAGCAAGACGGACAGTCAGAAAATGAGATTGAATCGGTCGTTATACCAAAAAGTTGGTCGGTTTCTGGTCCTTCTGTGTTTTACGTCCTTACACCACACGTACTGTTGGGTAAAAAAGTTATGATAACCTTAATAAGATAAGCATTCGTTAATCATATGGTATTAATTTCTTAGAAAGACTCAACAAAAGTAAACATACGTTAATCAAATCACAACACATTTGTTCATATTAGGGCGATTTGTATTCAGGCAAAATTCAATTCTTATCAAACCCATGCAAGTCAAAAATTTCCAAATCCAAAGTGATTAATAAAATTTTGCGTTTATTTTCTTTGTATTATGTATGTGTCTGTTGAATGTTAATATGATCTTGATATTTAATTTAAAAAAATTTATCAAAATAACTTTATATTAATAAGATTTCATGAGAAAATCTATATAAAATTGCATGTACGTTTATTTAATATCTTTAAATTTTAATTTCTTTCTTTTTCTTTTCTATAAATTTTAAAAATTATTGGAAAGAATTTTCCCGAAATTGCACCGCATCCAATATAACAAACAAGTGAAACTCCTCGTCCTCTCTTGGCGGTATCTTTTTTCTCTACTTTTCTTCCTATTGTTCGTCAAAAACAAGAAAGGAAATGTTCCCAAAAGCCTGTCAAAATCTCCATAACGTTA